AACGCACCTCTACTTCAGCGTAGCTGTTGTTGAAGACAAGCGGAAGCTGAACTGAGACTAACCAAGGTAATCATACGCAAAAGCTTTTATTCTTTCCAAAATTAGAAGGGACTCTCACTTAATGTAAAAATTATCATATTATCAAGGGTAATTTCCCCTTTTTGTGTATCTTGGTTTGCTTTACTTCATGGGAAAATGTGATCGAAAAACTCACACTTTCTCGCTCAGCAAGTCACCCAGCAAGTTTGTATTTCGTGAATAAGGAAGAAAAATAGGAAAGTTCTATAAAAGCTACTCTTACTCAGTCATCTTTAATGATTTTATTTCTGTCGATGTTGTTCACATAATGTGTTGCAAGAGCCACTCTTCAAAAACAGGAAGTTAAAAGAATTGTTTGCATCTTTTGTCCACACTGTGCGGGGCTTTCCCTTATGCTATCTGATCAATCGTTTACAGAAAAAAATGTCTCCTCTATTTCAAGAACTAAACTTGAAACTGTACACAGATTAAGTGACTAAGGCGTAATTCTCACATTTTAAAGGTTTGAATATTTCAAGTTAACTTTCCTCTGCGCTAAAAAAAGAAAGGAAGTTCGAATTACGAAAGTCTGGATGGATTGTCAAACACAAAACAATAGTCTTTGTTTGTTGAGGGAAGTCTGGTGTCCTCTGATGAATATGCTGGCCTACCCCAGAAACTGTTAGGAAATTTACTTCTAGGAAATACAATAATAATTCGAGTCATCAATTTATATTCGATGCAAATGCAAGGAGCTCTGTAAAAGATACGTTCCTCGCAATCTGTTATTTGGATCAAATTGCATAAACTTTGGTGTTGCAACGGAAGGATTTTTTGCGAGGGAAAATTCCCTTCTTCAATTGACTCACGAGTAAACAAACAATTTTGAAGCATGAGGCGTTATCTAACGACATGATGTTGTTGATGTTCGTATGCACTTAAATATCATCAAACTAGGAGAAATAACTGCTTTCATAGTTAAAAAAAAAGGAGAATAAGAGGAATACGGATCATGAAAGTAGGGTATGTTTTGCCTGTTAATTAATTCATCCAGATATGTTCCAGAGAAATCGAAACAGCGTGACCACCTGCATAACAGGAAGTTCTAAGGACAAAAATTATCAAGGGAAAAAACCCCGTCGTGGGGAAATTTCCCTCATTTTAATGTAGGGAGACAACAGTTTCATTTTAGTTTAGTCATCTCAGTTCGTACACGGTGGAATAGTTTTGGGGACGATCGATGCCGTACTCGCCTATCGCGTCGAGGGAAGGTGAGAAAGACAACTGTTAATATGGAAATTGACTCTACTAACGACAATACAGACTATTCGCGCACAAGGTAAGGTGGATTTGTGCTATGCTGACTGTTTTAAAGATTTTCATATTTAGTCTTTTATAGAGTGAGAGAAGAGGAAATAGATTGTATAACATCGCAACCATTGTAACTGCTGAGGTTGTCGTTACTAGATGCCTGAATCAACTAACTGTAAGAGGGGTATTTCGCATGATTTCTCTGCGTTTTTTAATTAGACTTATAAATCGTAAACTGATGGATGGTTATAGTCCTTAAAATTAAAATGTCGTAAAACTTCTTAATAGACGAAGCTTTAATCGTTTTTGGAAAGCACGCATGACTTAAATGAAAGGGATGTTAGGGTTTAAGCTGAGTTCATGCTGAGCAAGTTTTATGTCGCTTCCCTGTTAGTAAATGGTTCTGTCCACACTACGGGAGGGACACCTGTACGATTCAGTTCAAATGCTGCCCTGAAAACGACCGTTATCCTTGCCACAAATGTCATAACGAGTTTATGATTGCACAAGAGGAGGAGCGCGCGAAAGAACAAGAGGAAAATAAACTGTTGATAGAGAACCCTAACACTGAAGAGGTTGAAGAGGTTTCCGAGCAGACTACAGAGAGCACGGGACAAGATGCGAGTTTGGCAACTGCGGCATTTCCAGCGGAGGATCGCACGAGAAAACAGGAGGAAATTAAACCATTATCAGAGGCTTCCGAAGCTGACAAAGGCCTCGGGGGGACGAGCGGCGGCGCGGAAGCCGGTGACAATTCGGCAGATGTAGCTATACAAGTGGAGAAGCGCGGGAGCGAAGGAGCGGAAAATAAGACATTGCACGAGCGCCTTGAAATTGGCAACGACGAGAACTTGACATCAAAATTTGGAGAGCTCCAAAGTAAGTATTATCTTAAACGTTCCCTGTGTATTATTCAAGGACGTAATATGTTAGGAAAACAAAGGACTGGACCCAGGCAAAATCATGAACGCCCTGGTCTTGAATATTTGACTATTCAAACGGAGGAAACCAAATAGAAGCGACAGATAATTTCCCAGATTTCAGTGAAACTCATTGAAATAGAGACCTACATGACATCCGAATTGTTTACCACAGGTCTCTCACTTTTGAAAATGTGTGTTAATAATCGTAGGTGAACGTTATCATGTAAAATTGTAACGAGATCTTTACTACAAAAATACAGTTTTTCTAGATTGTCCACCAACCCAAAATGGAGCTAACAGAGCCTCTAGCGTGGGATCTTTTCGTGAGACAGTAGTGTCAACGTGCTCAGTAGAAATTGATGAAAATATTGCCTCGGAGACGAGTAATGGAAAAGGTGTTCCACAAAATAGTCAAAGCTTGAAAGTTAAAGATGCAGAGTCTCCGCACCCCAAAGCGACAGCGCTGGATGCAAGTGATATCGAATGTACCGCTTGTGGTTGGAAACAAATGGTATTTACTCTAGTAATGGATTTGGCACAACAACGATAACAATGGCGAAAACAGTAGCAAATCAACATTAAATGAATTAAGCTTGAAGTTAGCTAGGCTGTTTATAGTCTTTTCGGCTATGTTTTTATCCTTAAACTCAAGGGTTTGTTGATTAGAGTCCTTGCTTGACAATTTTCAGTCATGAAGTTTGTTTTCTGTTGTAGATCTCCAAGAACTGTGAGAATTGTAAGAAGTCTTTTGCTGACTATTATTGCAGCAAATGCCAACTCCTGATTGGTTACCAAGTGGATCCTTACCACTGCGATGAGTGCAAAACCTGCAGGTAATTTGAGTGTAAAACTTGCAACTAATTTATTTACCTCACCACTCAAAGCAAGAGCTTACTGCAGTTTTGATCGGAACTCAATGCTCCATTCAAACTTCTTCGCAAGGAGTGACTTGAAATAGATGACGCAAAAGGAGGTTGTTTATTGTTCCGAGGGACCGGTTATGACAATCTGTCAGATAAAACTTGAAAGTGTTAGGCTGTGTTCATCGTAATTCCACGTGGTTTGGTTTTTTGATTGCATTTCATTTTCCTGTCTCTTTTGCCCCAATTTAGGACTACCGTTTGGTCATCTCCCCGAGTTGTTGTGCTATTACACTCAAAGCACTTAAACGTCTTAATATCAGGGTTCTACTTCACGTATTGTATCAATCGAAGAAGTCCTCTTATTAAAAGCTAATCACTATTAAACGCTTATTTCAGGGAGAACGAGAAAAATCATTTTCATTGTTACACGTGCAACGTATGTATGGCAAAAACTCTGCAGGAAAACCACCAATGTTTTCCTGACCGAGGGCACGATCCATGCGCCATTTGTTTGGAGGTCAGTGATTTCGAAAGCTTATATCGAAAAGACTAGTTCTTCAAAGTGTTTAATCTATTTCTATCGCAGATCCGTGCACATTAAGTGGATACATTAATCTGTAATTTTAATTTTCCTTCAGTTGTTGCCCAAAAAGTAGCGAGTATGATCGGGAAGCTCTTTATTTTCGATCGAAAGATAAACTTCCAAACGATATATCAATTAAGCTATGAGTATATTTTAACTGAACTGGTTACTTAAAATTTTAATTTGCACCAAAGAAAGTTACACAACAAGTTATCATCAAGTGGTTAGTAAGAAATGATACGGAACACCACCAACTTGCCACAACTGAGCACTAAGTACAACTACGAGAGCCAATGGGATTAACATTTCTCTGTTTCCTTCAGGAGGTATTTTCTGGAGCAATCATTTTCCCGTGCTTTCATATGGTCCACAAAGACTGTGCAATAAATCTTGTGCAATCTGGAAGGTAATATATCTCTTAAAATTTCCCTGAGATGCTTTTTCCAGTTTATCGCGTCTTCTTGTAGGATACTAGATTTTGAAAAATGTATTGAACGCGCATAGAGTTTTGCCCTCATTTGTCATTAGCCCTTAACCCCTAAGGGTGACTAGCATCTAATTTTTCCTTACAATATCACCACTGAATCACTTATTGATGTCATGAGAACAAAAGAAATGACCACCAGCTGGAAAACCTCCCGATTATTGGACAAATTCTCCTTGTCAGCATCTCAATAAATGTACAGAAAACAGTAAGGAGAATATGGATACTGATGTTAGGGCGTAAAGGTTTAAGTGGAAACAAAGCGCCTTGTTATCATCATACATCTTGCCTGTTAAACCTAGGCCTAGGCCCCTGAAAATCGTGAGTCTAAACTGAACTTACAAAAGAGTAAATACTTGGTGTGCAGTAAAAAAAGCACAATTTCTGAAAGAAATGCATGTAGGTAAAAAACACAAAGCAATAGACGGGAAAAAAACTATTCGAGAAACCGTGCGTCATTTTTTGTTGCAAGTGCCATTGCTATACATGTTTATATTCTTTATTTGTTTTTACCTTTACCATGATTTCATTAGTGTTACTTGCCCGATGTGCCGCAGACCAATTTACCAAGAAGATCAGGATGGTGAAGAAACGGCACCTCCCTCATCCTCTTACCTTCAACGGATCATTTCGAAGTTACCATCTGGGTTTGGGTTTGGGTTTGGGTTTGGGTCCCGCCCTCGGGAAGATAGCACGTCACGGCCGGAACAATCGATCAGCAGATCATTCCGAAATATTGGCAGATTTTTTTCGACATCTCAGTTAACCAAGTATTTCGAAAAATGCCCCTGGGTATGTACATTGGGGAAACGGGGTTGGAGAAGTAATGTTCCGAAGGAAAACACACCAGAGGATACAGAAATGGTTTCCATCGAGATGCAACAACCTCTTCAATTTGATAGTGAAGAGTCTGTACTTCCGTTTCCGGGAACGCAGACCGACGTTTGACTGCCTAAGCGGAAGTCATCATCAGCGTCTAGAGAATGGTTGCTGTCAATCGTGTGTTATAAGTCCGGTTTATGTAAACTAATTGGTTACTTTAGCCATAATGTTGTTGGTCTAAGACTCAAGCGGTGTAACTCGGCAGCTTACATACTAAGATTGCAATTAGTAACATTGCAATTAGTAACTAGTATTCCAAGACTTAGTTGATGGTTATCGGTTTAGGGGCGCCTGGAACCCACGGAAGAGGCTCTTTATTTTGTGGATCTTACCTTCCTATGTAAAGGATTAAAGAAATATGCAGAACGTGAGTGAAAGTCAGATAAGACGAGACTTCAGTGACTTGCGCGTGTGCAAAACGTTTTTTTTTTCGCCATCACAAAACATGTTAGACATCACTTATTATGTAAATTACAGTTGGGTTGACACGGTTGCCTCATTTGAACTCTAATTACTAAGCGTCGTAAAAAAGCGTGAAACAAATTTACGCACTGAATTAATATCGTTTCTACCATTTTATCACGAGTTAATCGCTACTTACGACAATAAGACCCCTGTCGTTCCTTAACAAGTTGGTCATAGGGTCTGACTCAATTGACCGAAAAAAAAAACTATTGGATAACTGTTCTATATTACTAAAATTTCCACTCGGCCTGGGAACGAGAGAGGGGTTTTTATGAGGAGCCCATCGTAAGGAAGTTACCGGTATTAGCGAAGTAGTCAAAAGGAGGTGCTTTACATTGTACATTTCAAATTGGATACAGCATTGATTTTGTATTAAGTAAACATAGTGTGCTGTCAGTTGAGGGCCATTTGGCAAATATATCCAGATTATATACAAAAGTGATACGGTTCCTTTTTTCATTTTTGTCTTTTCGAGGTATGGGTAGTGAATCAAGATCAATTAACCGATTGAAGGGCCAGTTGACCATCCTGTCAACTTTTCGGTAGGTTTTGAGGAACCACAGCTGCGTGGTCTCCATTGACTTTAAATCAAATAAATTAAGATAGTTGCCTCAATCCTTTTGTGTTGATTTTTGTCAATCAATACCCAAAATCTGTTGTTTCTCATTACTCGGTCGATTAGAGATGTAGAATATACGCACCTCCTAAGGCATCCCCTGACTTTTGATTTTTGCTCCTAAATTGTCATGTTCACCGTGTCCTTATTGTGAACGAAAGACATTGAAAGAATCAGGCCCACATGTCAAATCGCCAAAACCCGCATATTATTACGTAGTATGGCATTTTCTTAGGTGACCCGTTCTATGTACCCATATTCATGAAGTCATTCGTATAACACTATCTCCCCTTGTAGAAGAATGTACACCAGCACGAAATAATTATTTCCGGGGTTACAAATCTTGGGTGGCTTGTTTTAAGGAGCTTTTATCGAGTTCTGAGCTGTTAAAGATGCTTACCCTTTCTCGCAGGGCTTTCCTAACGTTTGTGCCGGCAGCCATCCCATCTAGATAGTGAGGAAATATTTGATTTTGTACTCAAAGTCCCAAACATTTATGACGAGGGTCGGTACATTTCACTGACCCCATGGTCTACCACAGTGCAAAAGCGATTGATTACCTCAAATGGACAACGCTAAATAAGACTTCGAAGTTAAAATAAATAATGAAACACCTGATATAACAAGCCAACGATCTAAGTCTAAAATTTCCTCAAATCCTGTGCATATCAGCCTTCAGATTCCACTTGCAGAGAGGAGTTGCGCGGTTTTATCACTCATGCACGTATTTTGGCCGAATTACCGTTTTCACAGCCCAAGAAGAATGATGTCCTTGAACTTCGTTTACTCTTGACCATATAGCATACATTCATAATTCATATACCAAAATAGGTTCAAACTTTTTAAGAAGGGTTAGGAAATACAATAAAAAACAAATTCTCAAAGAGAATAGTTTTCTTCTGTGTAATTTGGTCTAAGCGTTTTTGAGTTAGGAGAAGATACATGATTTTTGTTTTCATGTTTTTTTATTTAACAGTTTAAAAAGTCATTGACTTCTTTAACCACCATAAATTCGGTGTCAATTCAGTGTTGTCAATCTACATATCGATATCACTTGAGCCGGGCTCCGTCGGCTGAGCACATTTGTAGACAGCAAAACTACCAATTCCAAAACTCCGTTGACATTCCAGTCCTTCTTGGCATTTCCAAAAGCATTTCTGTTTAAAGACAAAATACAAGCATGGTTATAGAACTATGAGGCGTGAGAAGGTAGATTTAGATTTCAATAACAGCCTCAACTTTACCCACATATCCACACCATGCGGCAAAGACTGAGAAGGACCTTTTTCGTAAGCATGGTATGGCTACGGTCTTTTACAAAGAAACTTGCCATCGAAAGGAAAGTTCCAATCATGCACTTATAGATGCTCTACCCTTGAGCTATAAAGAAAAGCCACAGGATACATAATATGCTGTTGTAAGATGAAGTTAAGAGACTATAAATTCCCCATAAACACGATAAATGAATTGTTCTCCCTTACTTTTATTTTAGCTCCACACAGCTCTCAACATTATTATTTTCCAGGAAGGGGGATTCTAAAGTTAGAGGATTATCCTACCACCAGGTGTTAAAATACGCTTATTAATTAATTTTTGCGTAAACAATCTCTCATTTTTTAAAATTCTTTAAGATTTAAATGTATGATCAATCATTTGCACAAAGCACCTCCGATAGAAAAAGCCTAATCAACGCCGAATCACTGAAAGGAGGGATTGAGTTTTACTTACAGAGGAAGGATGACAGATCCTGCCCTCTCCCTTTCTTGCCAAGCACTTAGTGTAACCGAATTTTTGGAAACAGCACTGACCAGTCGAACAGTCTGCATCGGTGGAACACTGAAAATGAAAAGAGGACAGGGGCCTCTTGAGCGGACTTGATGACATTTAATAACAGGAGCTAACACAATACCTTGAAACACTGATATTGAATTTGCTTTTGCTTTCAGCATAAAGCGGAAAAAAACTGTTCAGCTAAGATAATATACATTAAGCTATTTGTCATAGTTTGGTTGGCGTAACGACGCCTGAAGAAAAGAAGTAGGCTAGAGGAACGGAAAGGAGGTTTCATGTTTTTCCTCTTCATTCCTTCAGCACTCCCATTATCGTTTATACTTTCCCCTTGGAAACCTTCTGCCTATGAGGCTAATAGTGACTCCATATACATTTACTGATAACGTACTTATTCCTTGATTCAGCTAAATAATTCGTTTTAAGTGTTTAAGGATCTTGCTTATCTGTATTCAGGAACAGCTAGCAAGACTGTTTGCCTTTCTAGATGATAAATAACAATGCAATTAGATCCAAAAAAGACGAGTTGTTTTTCCTAAGATATAAACCTGACTTGAATTAAGTTTTCCTTCTTTTGAATAGGCAAAGCCAACCCTCGGGTCAATATTATCATTATTGGTTTGAGATTTTTCTTCATTGCTAACTGATAACACTTACCCTCTTTTTGAAAAGAAAACGTTTGTTACTGTCAGTTTCATCTCTCAAAATGTCGTCCTCCAAAAAGCTTAAGTCTTCTTCTCTCAAGGAATTTACCACGAAGGCGAATGCCAGACAAAGAATTAGAGACAAAGCGACCTTCATATTGCCTTTTTCTGCTACAGGGATCGACCGCGAGTAGAATGATTCGGGCAGCGCTTTCTTAAATAGAACAGTGTGCTTTTTATACAGCTGATCAATTATAAAACGGAAATTCATTTTTGAGAAAAGGCAGTGGCTCGGTATCACTAAGGTGTAAGAACTATGTGCTATACGAC